TGCGCCGGCGGCGGGTCGCGCGACAAAAGAACGGAAATTGCCGCCGACGTGGCCGCCGCCTCGGTTGAGATTGAAACGCTGATTCAATGCCGGCTCGAGGCGCTGCAGGAAATGGGAAAATGTTGACCTTTCTCTCCAGCAATGCCTTGGTAATCATTCGCACGTGTTTTGGTGTGCAAGTTGTAGCATCAAGCATGCTTGTTCAGCTGATTAGTAGAGTGGTTTTATGTTAGCACCCGGATTCTCCGAAAGTGTTGGATCATTTCGGTGTGCCAATAGCACCAACTAAAACAGTTGCTGGTTTGACAAAAGCCCGTAGGCAGCCAATACTGCTGTTCGTTTACTGTGAACTGTTCAGCTTTTCCAGGAACGGCACTGTTATCGCAATATGGCCATTTCATTGGGCCTCCCTGAGGGAATGTAATCCCCGCTACCGTGCTGTTGGAAACATGCATGCTATTGGACCACATAAATATTTGGCTGAAACACACTCTGAGCCACATGCACTCAGAGCAGTTCAAGGTTTGAAGTTTTGAGGTAAAGTTACCTCTGTTAGCTACTAATGATTTATGGCATGATGACGTCTGGTAAAAGCCTCATTCTCATTGTACAAGAAAATGATTGGCTATAAAAGTAGATCAATACTGATAATGACCATATTACTTTACAATGTTTTAAGTTAACCCGCGCCCCACTGGGGGGGCTATTTATAGCCCCCCCTCCCGTTTTTCTGCAATAACTTCCAAACCGCTTGACGTATCGACGCCAAACTTTCAGTACCTTAGGCTGCATTAATTTGACACCTTGTGTCAAAATTTGAACTTCGTACCTACTATAGATCGGCCGGAAATGACGTCAGAGTGACGTCATGTTCGGCCGATTTCGACGCAAAACATTGAACCACGGCAATCGCTCCCAAGAGCTCAGTTTTTAAGCTAGATCCAATTTCTTTGCATGAGAGGACTCAGAATAGACGGCGCTATCAAACTGCTATCTCGGATTTTCGAAATTTTGAAAATTTTGAAAATTTTGATATAATATCTAAAATTTATATTTTCACGTTTTTTTCAAAAGTTTTGACTTTTCGAAAAAAAACGGAATACATGTGATAGAACGCATTATTATGACTAACTCTAGCAAGTTTTAGCTAAATATCATCAAAAATGGCGAAGTTTTACGCATTATTGCAAAAAATTCACAATTATTGATTTTTCAAATCAATTTTTCAGCACGTATTTGACATCGTACGCCAATACAAATAGCACCATCGTGTCCCTGAGCTCAAACTGCATCCAATAGACACCTTTTTTGTTGAAAAATTTTAACTTCAAAATTTGACCTTTTTTGACCTGAAAGTGACCTAACATAAGCTAAATTCGACTCAAAATGACTTCGAATGACACAGACGACATCAAATTCGAAATCTCTGACCTAAATGGACCATAAAACATGTGTCACGTGACCGACGCATGATATAATATTTTCGTGACCTGTGATGACCTGACCTTGACCTGAAAATCAAGTACAAGTTTGGTACCCTCAGGGTAATTAGAGCATCTGTTCCCGAGTGTATGATCCAAAAATGAGCCTGATCTGACTTGTAAGACGGCGGCCAGAGCCCAAAACGTGAACAAGCCAAAATGCTAATAATTTTTACTTTGGCCTGACCTGTGACGTCATCGGTGACCTCGAGGTCAATGAAATTAGGTTTCGTTCGACAGTTTTTCCGGGGCTATCAGACACCGTTTGAATTTTGACGATCGGCCCAGTAGTTTCGGAGTTAGGAGGGGGGGGGCTATGAATAGCCCCCCCCCCCCCAGTAGGGCGTGTTATACGCAGACCCCAGTGGGGCGCGGGTTAAGTTCTGCCACTCACAGTCAAAGATGCTCACCATCGTTAAAAATCGCATAGCTCTTAACAACGAGCAATGTTCGCACGGTGCCCTCGATTCTCACCCACCCACCACACACGCATGCTGAAGCACCTTGAAGTTTCCATCCCCGCCGCCTTGTTCGCGCCAGGGGCGTTCGGTTTTCAGCGGCGCCTTTCGACCGGAGTCGGCGCCGACGGGGGCTGTCGACGGCGACGGGGTCTAATTCGCACCTGTCTCGGCCAGCGACGCGCAGTCGGCGGCGGCGGCTCCAGGAAATGACTCGGCCGATAGCGGCGGGTGCCGATCGGATAGGCTGCTTCAGGCTTATACTGGCAAGTGGTGAGATTATGTTTATGCTTCAGAGTAATGCTGGGCCTCTTGATGAGTAATGCTGCTACGCTTGATGAGCTGATTGCTTACCAAAATAACTGCAGAAGTGACCCTCTTGCTGGAAAGTGACCCTCTTTCCCCTCCCTCTCTCTCTCCCTCTCTCCCTCTCTCTCTCTCTCTCTCTCTCTCTCTCTTCGCACTTTTTTGCGGACAAAATGTAGGCGGCAGTGTTAGCAGTTTCTTTCCTGAGTACTTATAAGTACCTACCATGATACCATATCACACTTCATTTTTGTCATGTCACCACTTACCGTGACCACTATCCGTCACCATACTGCTCACAGTTTTGTCATCTGCTCTATCATGTTTGTCACGTCTGTCATCTGCCCTAAGGTTTAGGCGGTGCCATTCGAGCTGACAGTACCGCGCCACACATTGCCACCGCCGCGTCTGGTCTGTCGCCACGGCCAGAGTAATCCTCCGTCCTAACGACGGCCACAATTCTCCATTTGGATGACAGGGCCCGCGCGTGACAGCGCGAGAACGTGACTGGGGGGGGGGGGGAGGGGAGTGAGAAACGAGCGTATGTACCGACCAGGGCGGGTGCACTGCTGGTGTGATTGTAGGCGGAAAAAAGAACCGTGCGTGAGAGACTGAGTGGAGTGAGCGGAAATGATTTTTAGGTACATCATGTGCCTACTGCACTGGTAGTTTGCCATTCCATTTGGTTGCTGTGAAAAATGTTTTTGAGCACCGTTTAGCTTGATGGTGCAGTGGTGTAGATATTTGTTTCATTTTTCCTTTGTTGTGTGTGCTGTGATATGAAAGTATGCTGACTAGAACTGCGCTTGAATATTCCTTATAATTTAGAAATCTAACAGCATACTATATACTCTATACTATAACTATATACTCTTGGGAAACATTTGAGCATTACATTCCTCAAATTTGCTTGCAGAACAGAGCGACCGACATTAACCCTCGCCCTGGCAGGGCATTTTCCATAACACGGCCTGGCAGGGGGGGGGGGGGGGTCGATGCGACCCCCCCCCCTCGCGATTGGCTCCTATGGTACCTAGAAACACCAAATTTGGTAGGTAGGTGGCCCCCCTGGAGTTCTCGCCCATGTGCAAATTTGGTTGCTCTAGGTCAATATTTAGGGGGTTTTTGGGGGGTATAAATGTAAAAATTTCGCTAAAAACAGGTCAAAAGTTTTTCGCTTATAACTTTTGATCTAACTAAGATAGAGCAAAAAGAAAAGCACCAGTGAACTCAGCACGTCAGGGCGCGTCGAAGAATATACTTTTTAGCTTGCTTAAGTGTACTTAAAGTTTTTCTTATTTTTTAAGTAAACTTTAATTAATCAATTAAGTTCAAGTTAACCAAATTGCATCATATCGCATATCATTCGATTCGGCTGATCACCAGGAACACAATGACATCATTTTTTAAGCTCTAGCGTCATTATGTGCCAAGTTATTGGCAAAAACGTCATTTGACCTCAGTTGACCTCATTTGACCTGACCCATGGATAAGTACACCAAGCAAAGAAGCACCAAGTGACCTGCTGTTAAGTACTGTGGTTTCAAAGCACAAAAGTGATAGAACGAAGCGGATATCTCCAGTATTTTCCGAATTTAGTATTTTCCCATAGGCTTAACATTACGACGTAATGACCTCTAACTGACCTCAGGTCAGTGACCTAAAAAAAACCCGAACCATATGTTATACAACTCGGTGAACTTAGCACATCCTGAAAGTTTGAAGGAAATCAGTGCAAAACTGTGAGTTGGACAGGTGCAAAAAGAAAATTGAAATTTGACCATGACCTTGTACCGGTTTTTCTGACCTGGTGACCTGACCCAAGGTCACCCGTACCTAAAATTTTCAGGTAATATGTAAAAAGGTTGACCCATAGGCTGTGCCAAATTTGGCGGCGCTGCGCGCCGCCATTTTTACGCTATCTTCGAAAAACCTTAGGGGGTCGCATCGACCCCCCCTGCCAGGGCGAGGGTTAATGCAGGAAAGACGCTGAGTAACTTTTTTTACATTTTGCATAAAAATACATTTACTAATATTATGCTGCAACCAATGCCAATGCCGCATTTTACGCTTTCCTTTAGCCTTTCCAACGTATCACCTAAAATTAGTCCTCATTACTATGAACATTTCCCGTCTCCCAGCCTCGTCTGCCGGAGAAGATACGCCTCACATTCATCTCATTTCTTAGAGAATAACCGCTCCGTCCGGATCAAATGCGAAGCGGTTATTGCAGTATCTTAATCCCGTTTATGGTCGGGAAGACAAACCGTCGGCGAGTGGCGAGTGGGCCGCCGGCGGCGCTCCGGCGTGCTCCAGTCCCACATGCCTCGTGCGGCGAAAATTAGCACGATAATTAAAGGCTGAAGTAGCGCCCGAGGCACCATTATCGCCGGGATTGGTGCGCCCTGGGACAGAGGAACGGGGTGTGGGGGGGAGTGTACGGGCAGCCTTGAGAGGTAGAGGAGGTGGAGGTGGGTACACGGACCGCTGAGACGGCGAAAAGGGGAGAGGAGAGAGGGGATTCGAGAGGAAAGAGGAGAGAGAAGAGAGAAGTGAGAAGAGAAAAGAGAGAAGAGAGAAGAGAGAAGAGAGAAGAGAGAAGAGAGAAGAGAGAAGAGAGAAGAGAGAAGAGAGAAGAGAGAAGAGAGAAGAGAGGAGAGAGAAGAGAGAAGAAAGAAGAGAGAAGAGAGAAGAGAGAAGAGAGAAGAGGGAAGAGGGAAGAGAGAAGAGAGAAGAGAGGAGAGGGGAGAAGAAGATGGTTAGGACAGAGATGATGGGAGAGAGAGAGAGAGAGAGAGAGAGAGAGAGAGAGAGAGAGAGAGAGAGAGAGGAAAGGAGCCAGGAGAGGGGAGAGGAGAGATGAGAGAGAGAGGGAAGAGGGGAGATTAAGACAGGTAGAGCAGCTATGATAGGAGCAGAAGAGAGCCAGAGTTGGAGAGGAGAGAGAGAGAAGGGAAAAAGGAGAGAGGGTTGGGAGCGAGCCACGCGCCCGGTGGATGGATATTGCAGAGGAGCACAAAAGTCGCCCAGATGACGACCAGCCACAATGGACCCCACCCGGCCTCAGCGAAATTGTGCCGCCACCAAATTGATTTTCCTTTTGAAAGCGTCGGCAGGAATGGTGGCCGACAGCGACCGGTGCAGTGGGTAGAGGAGAGGCAGAGGAGGGGAGGAGTGGCCCGAGAGAGATAAAATGGTAAGAGTTGTGTCTTCCCCGAAAGAAGAGCTGGAAGGGAGAATGAGAGAATGAACGGAGAGGACACGTGATGTTGAATGGAGAGATGACAACAGCGAGGAAAAGTCAGGAGGGAGAAAGAGAGAAAGAAAGGGATGGAGATAGAGAGAGATAGAGAGAGAAAGAAAGAGAGAGAGAGATAGAGAGAGAGAGAGAGAGAGAGAGAGAGAGAGAGAGAGAGAGAGAGAGAGAGAGAGAGAGAGAGAGAGAGGGTGGCCAACCCGCCGACCGCCGCACAATGCACATCTCCCGGAGGTATGCCCGGCTCGCCCGGCCCGCGGCGCCGGGCCCCGGCCGGTGTCCGCTGCCGTCCTCTCCGGGAGGTCCACCCTGGCCCGTGCCGCCGCCAACAGCGGCCGACTACGGCCAAATTCAGTGTCGCCGCGCCACCGCCGCCCATAAAGCTGACTTCGATTCTATCAACGCGAACGACATAGCACGGCGCTGGATGCCGGCCAAAACTGAAAGCAATAGACTGTTAAGTGGGCGCACGGGCCGCACGCGCCGCCGCCCGCAGAAAAAATGTGGGTCCCGAGAGCAGCGTCCGACACGGCGGCGGTCGCAACTCAGCACTGCTTGCGGGGGCTGGAAAGGCAAAGGCTTGGTGGTAACAGGAAAATGTTTGGATACAAAAAGCTCATTAATGGAAGGGTTAATGCTGTTTAGCCGATGAAAATGTTTATACTAAAATAGAAGTACCACACAAAAGGAATAGAATACACCTGTTGGCGACGCTTTCGTTCGAATCTCCTTTCATGGTGTGGACTGTATTTAATCGCGCATCGCACAGCATTTGGTTGTTTGGTGACCGAGATCCAGGAGGAAAATGGTTTAATTGGAAAATTGGGAAAATAAATGTTATAACCTATCACGTTAGCCTAGTTAAGATACAACTAAATATTGGATACAGGATAGAGCGCCGGATGCCGACGACTAAGGAACCTCCTTCTTAGGAAGTATATTTGGACCTAATAAAAGAGCGCCGGATACCGACGGCAAAGGAACCCCCTTCTTAGGGCGTATGTTAGGGCCTAAATAAGAGAGCGCCGGATACCGACGTCAAAGGAACCCCCTTCTTAGGGAGTATGTTAGGGCCTAAAATATGAGAGCGCCGGATACCGACGTCAAAGGAATTCCCCTCTCAGGGAGTATGTTAGGGCCTAAATATAGAGCGCCGGATGCCGACGACAAAGGAACCCCCTTCTTAGAGAGTTTTAGGAATGTTTTAGGATAAAAAAGGATAGTCAGTAGACCTGGTCACCGGAACCGATACGCCTGCCGCATCTCCGTCGAATATCTCATCTGTGTGTAGACCGCGCACTGTTTCACTTCTCACTCGGGCTTCTCACACACTTTGTCTTCTAGTTCACTATATTTGGCGGACAAGGCAGCGAAACGTACCGGGAAGAGAGCTAGGGGCAGCGCAGTGTCCCCGTCGAAGTCGAAAGGTGAAGTGAGGGCGGGGGGTGTTTACAACTAGTTTATATACAGCGACAGGGGGTGAAAACAAGACGCGTTGAGGACGGTCAGAGCACACAGAAAAGGCTAAAAATGGCCCGGGCGTCCAGCGCTCCACCCGGAAAACACACACGCTGGGCGCGCACGTGCGTGCCCCACACAATGGCCCGGACCTGGGCCGGTCCTACGCAAACAGGGAGCCGCCCTGCCGCGCCGGCCGGCCAGCCGGGTCAGAGGGGACGCCAGCGTCCCGCGACCGCGGACGGCGCTCGGCTCGGCGGCGCGGCGGCGGTTCGGCTCGGCAGCGCCGAGTCTCTCGCCCGTACCGCCTTGCATAGGTGCAATTTGTCGGCAACATCACTCCCCCCTGTGTTCGGCTTCACTACGAACGTCGAACACATACATTTGACCGACAAATTGAACAGCACAAACCAACAGTCAAGCAAGGTGATAACCGAAACGGGCGCGGGTAACGATCATTTCCAAGCTCCATGTAAGTAAAGACATGCTCAGCATACCAGAAAGGTGCGTAGCGAGATAAAGCGGGCCTAACACTCGCGCGCGGCTACGGCATCCTTTACACAGCCCTGAACTCAGACTCAGGTCCCTGTCAGGAAGGCACAAAAATACCAGAGCCGTCGCGAACGGTCAGTGGGCAGGGGGCGTCAAGTCACACGCACAATGGAAATGACGGACGACTTTTGGATATCTTCTCCGAGAAAACGCAGATGAGCACCGGCTATGGGGGACTGGACGGTTGGTATCTCGGGCATGGGACCGCAGCAGGCAGTGATCAGTTGTCCACGGGACGCAGCCATGAGCGCTGCGTGTTCAGCTTCTCCCGGGCAGCGCTCAGTTCGCGCACCACGGACAGCAGCTCCTGGTTGCGCGCCTGGAGCCCCTCTTTGTCCCGGAAGGTGACCAGACGCTGGGCGATCAGCCGTCCGACGGAGAAGGTGTCCAGCTCGAGCTCGTACCGGGGTGTGGCGACGAACCCGCCGCGCGCCTCCTCCACCTTCTTCAGCGGCACACAAAACTGCATTGCCAGGTCCGCTGTCTGGGCGGCCAGCCGATCCCTCTCGTGTTGTACGATACGCAGTCGCCGGCGGGCGCCGTCAGGCTTGGCGCGTGCTGTTTCCAGCTTCCGTAATGCCTCGTAATTGTTACCTGTGGGAGAGTCGATCGTCTGCACCGCCGCCTCATAATCCTTGCGCTGTCTCTGGATGGCCGGCGTCCACTTATCAATGTCCTTCAGGATCTGGTCGAGGCACAGTTTGAACTGCTTGCTCTCGGCCTCTGTGGCCGTCAGCTGCTCCTTGGCCTGACTGAACCCGGTGAAGATATGTGTGAGCGTCATGCCCTGCCGCAGGAGCCGGCTGACGGCGGCGGCGGACGGTGACGTGGCCTCCACCGCCTCGTCTGAAAGGCTACCTTTGCGGGTGATTGCCTGCAGCTGCTCCTCGTACGTCTCCAGCCGGTCACGCAGCTGGAGGATCACCTTGTCGCGCTCCACCAGGTGCTGGCCGTGCTGGGTGTGCGTCTCGTCCAGATGCACCTCCAGCTGGCTTTGCTGCTCGCTGGCCGAGCTCAGCAGTGACCGCAGCTCGTCCACCGAGCGCAGCATCTCATTCGACCTGGCCTCCGCCTTCTCGACGCCCTCTTTGTAGGGCTGCGCCAGCCGCTCCTGTAACCGCAGCTGCTGTCGATAGTTTTCCTCCTGCTCGATCTCGGCCTCACGCTGCAGCCGGGGCTTCTCCACCATTTCGGTGAGCCGCTGCTCCAGGTCGGCCGCCTGCTGTGTCAGCCGTTCTTTTTCCGCCTGCTCCGTCCCCAGCTGGTGCATCTTGATGGCAAGGTCGGCCTGCAGCTGGAGGTTCCGCGAGCTGTGCTGGCGGCGCAGCGTGGACAGCTCCTCTGCTTGCGACTTCAGGCTCTCCAGCAGCAGAGACATCTGCTTCTCCAGCACCTCCTTCTCACTCGCCATCTTCCTCTCTCTGTACTGGAAATTGATCTCCTTGGCGGCAATTTCCTCCACCTGTACCAGCGCCCGATACTTTGCCGCATTAGCTGCAGCCAGTTCAGCTCCTCGGTCGGCAAGCTCGGCCGTCAGCCGGGCCACCTCAGCAGCGCGCCGCTCCAGCTGCTGTACCAAGCTCGCCTTGTCCGAGAGCACCTGGTCGCGCTCCCGACAGGCGGCCAGCTCAGCGGCCAACGCTCTGGTGAGGCCGGCATCTGCCTTCCTGTAGTCTGCGGTGGCCATGGTCCGCTGTTCCTGGAGTCTGGCAGCTGCCTGCTGCTGTTCCTCCAGCTGGCTGGACTGCTTCTGCAGCTCCTGCTGAGCCTCCTGTAGCTGCTGGCCCAGCTCAAACTCATTCTGTTCTGTGAGTGCGTCTGCCGAGACAGCAGCGACCGATACATGTCTCTCGGCGACGTAGGAGTTGATGATGACAAGGTACTTCCCTGCGACCTCTGGAAGCTTCTCGAGCTTTCTCTCCGTGGCCTGTAGTCGCTGAATAGCCTGTCGCTTGCTGTTGGGAAGTGTAGGACTTGTCTCCTTCCACAGCAGACCGGTCTCGTATCGCTCTCCACCTTTGGTCGTGTTTCTTTCCAGCATCTGGAGTGCTTTCTTATCCATCTCCGATCGTGACGTCGTTTCACTGTCCTTTGTTCCAGATGCTTCTGCAGACCACCATTCGTTGACGGCAGCGCACAGCTCCACTTCGCTCTCACTCGATTGACGTCTCAGAAACATGACCTGGCGCATGCTGCTGGGCACGATGTCAGACACGCAGCCCGTCAGGGTCCACCCTAGGTCTGTCTTCACAGCAGCCGGTTGATTCGGACGTCCCACACGCACCTCCTTCTGCAGCACTGCTTCAAGGACGTTTGCACCAATCAACAGCTTCACCTGCCCGCCATTATATTGCGGGAACTCCAGATCACGAAGGTGTTCAAATCTCTGAAGCTGACTCTTCGTCATCGTATTCGCAGTCACATTCAGCGCTGGCACAGACCACACTTCAGGAATGTTGATGCACTTCTTTGCCCCTGTGCCAAGGGGGCTGATCTTCAGTTTCACTCTCTCGGACGGACGCTGAGTGCCACTGGTCTCCACGTTTTGTATGCAGAGCGGGTGTCGCTCCCCGGCAACGCCCAGCTCCTCCAGAACATCCTCACGACACAGTGATGTCTGAGCTCCAGCATCCAGGAGTGCCAGAACGTCTGTCGAACCACGGGGCCCGTGAACCCGCACAGCAACAATCTGTAGCAGTGTGTCTGTGTCCGTTTTTACCGAGGCCGCTACAAACGGCTGGTTCCCGGAACTACCTTCAGCTGAAGATTCAGGCGCTCCCGTGGTTGTCCCTGCTGACGACTGATCCCTCCTCGAGTTGCTCTGATCGGTTCCTGACCGACTTGATCCGCGGTGGAGAAGCGGATGGTGCGTGAGCTTGCATCCCTTCACATTGCACCGCCGAGACACTTTGCAGCTTCTGCTCCAGTGGCCCTTCTTGAGGCATGAAAAGCAAAGACCTTCTTCATAGGCAACAGCGCTTCTTGCGTCTGGGGTCTTGGCCTTGAATTCTGAGCAGTCGCTCAGCCTGTGGTTACTGCTGCACACCACGCACACTGGCAGAGAGCGGGCCTCTGGTTCGGTTTCACCATTAGCTCCTGTCGCCAGCGCTGTTCGCCGAACAGGGCCGTCCCTTGAAGCAACTGTTGCACGTTTCCGTTCCGATGTTGAAGTCCCGGACTGGACAGCAGAGAAGCTCAGGATGCTGACTTGGACTTGGAGCCACTCGGTGAACGTCTCCAGAGTCGGTCTCGTCGGTCGCAGCCGGAACACTTCACGGCCCCACTCTCGGGCTAGCTCGCTCGGCAGCTTTTCGACCACTCTTCTCAAGTTTTCACTGCTTGACAGGTCACTCGCGTAGCCGAGATTTCGCAGGACGGTGACTGTGTTATGGACGACCGCATAAAACTTCTCCATCGCTGGGAGGTCCATTAGTGACGGTGGCGAGGTCATGAACACATTTCGCAGGTGGGCCTGGATGATGTCTTCCTCTCGTCCGAACCTATCTTGCAAGGTTTTCAAGGCCTCGTGATACAAGTCACCGTTGAATAACATGCCGTCAATGGCCTGGGCCGCGGCCCCTTCCACCGCGTTTTGAAGGTGAGCCATGCGCTCAGCATCCGACAGGGACGGCTGATCATGCACCAAGGCTTTGAAAAGACCAATCCAGCGCGGCCACTCACGTGCATTTCCACGGAACGTTGGCAGAGTCAGTCGCGGTATGCTCTTCACGAACGCTGATGGTCCTGCCAGGTCATTCCGTCGGGGTGAGGCTGGCGGTGGGATCCAGCTGGCACGAGCCAATCCGTCATTCTTGTGCACCCCATTCTCGCCTTGAGGAACACCGACAGCTCTGGGTGATGACGAGATGCAGCGGGGAACTTCGCCACCATTGGGTGCCGGCCGCTGCTCACCTGACGTATGACGGACGCCTCTTGTTACATCACAGTGGTTAGGCTCCACCTCCACTGGGATCTCGTCATCAAAGTCGTTTCTCCGCTCCCATTCAAGGTCATTTTCTGCAGCCCTCAGAAGTCTTGCCCTCTGCTGCGCTCGTTCCACCTCCTCTTCTAACTCCTTTTCCTCCATCATCCTCTTCTCTTCTAACTCCTTTTCCTCCATCATCCTCTTCTCTTCTTCCATCCTGTCTTCTTCTCTTCTCCTCTGAGCTGTTCTTTCTGTTTCCTGGTTTCTCAGCTGCCTTTCTCTGTCTTGCCTGGCTTTCAAATGCTTCAGCTCCAGGCTTTTCATCTCTGCCGTTATTACAGCTTCCCTGGACGCCGCTCTGGAGACTCCTGAAACACGGGATCCGTTCGCTCTACTCCCCCCGTGATGCAACTTTGATGGTGGTGGTCTGTCATCTGCTTGCGACGCCGCGCAGCAGCTCACTGGTCGGTGCGTAGTCGCCTCTTCAATTCTTTTCACCGTCTCGGCGTGCCGTGCCGTCAGTCGGGTGGCGTACTCTTCCGCTTCTTCCAGTTCGCAGACCTCCTGCACCTTCTCAACATAGGCGTCATTCGCCTCCATGAAACCATCCAGTGTCGCATTCAGGGTTTCGAGCCGCTTCTTTAGTTCTTCCTCGCTAGCTCGGCGCGCGATCTGAGCCTCCGCCGTGTTACAGGCACGAGTAAACGCGGCGGCCTTGCGCCCGCGCTGAAGTTTCAGGTGCTTCAACACGCATGCAGTGTCTCCAGCTTCCTCGCCGGCAGTGTCCTGACTCACCGTCGCCGTCTCTGTGTTCTCCGCCTGAGTCGAATCTTCCATCATCGGAATTTTCTTCTCGATCCGACTGGCACACACGAGGCACAGCTTGTAACCTACAATCAATCAGTAAGTCGGTGACGGGCAGCCACGAAGGTCATCAGTTCTCACTTCAGGCCAGGACCATCCGGCCCGGAGGACCAGAAAATGTTGGCGACGCTTTCGTTCGAATCTCCTTTCATGGTGTGGACTGTATTTAATCGCGCATCGCACAGCATTTGGTTGTTTGGTGACCGAGATCCAGGAGGAAAATGGTTTAATTGGAAAACTGGGAAAATAAATGTTATAACCTATCACGTTAGCCTAGTTAAGATACAACTAAATATTGGATACAGGATAGAGCGCCGGATGCCGACGACTAAGGAACCTCCTTCTTAGGAAGTATATTTGGACCTAATAAAAGAGCGCCGGATACCGACGGCAAAGGAACCCCCTTCTTAGGGCGTATGTTAGGGCCTAAATAAGAGAGCGCCGGATACCGACGTCAAAGGAACCCCCTTCTTAGGGAGTATGTTAGGGCCTAAAATATGAGAGCGCCGGATACCGACGTCAAAGGAATTCCCCTCTCAGGGAGTATGTAAGGGCCTAAATATAGAGCGCCGGATGCCGACGACAAAGGAACCCCCTTCTTAGAGAGTTTTAGGAATGTTTTAGGATAAAAAAGGATAGTCAGTAGACCTGGTCACCGGAACCGATACGCCTGCCGCATCTCCGTCGAATATCTCATCTGTGTGTAGACCGCGCACTGTTTCACTTCTCACTCGGGCTTCTCACACACTTTGTCTTCTAGTTCACTATATTTGGCGGACAAGGCAGCGAAACGTACCGGGAAGAGAGCTAGGGGCAGCGCAGTGTCCCCGTCGAAGTCGAAAGGTGAAGTGAGGGCGGGGGGTGTTTACAACTAGTTTATATACAGCGACAGGGGGTGAAAACAAGACGCGTTGAGGACGGTCAGAGCACACAGAAAAGGCTAAAAATGGCCCGGGCGTCCAGCGCTCCACCCGGAAAACACACACGCTGGGCGCGCACGTGCGTGCCCCACACAATGGCCCGGACCTGGGCCGGTCCTACGCAAACAGGGAGCCGCCCTGCCGCGCCGGCCGGCCAGCCGGGTCAGAGGGGACGCCAGCGTCCCGCGACCGCGGACGGCGCTCGGCTCGGCGGCGCGGCGGCGGTTCGGCTCGGCAGCGCCGAGTCTCTCGCCCGTACCGCCTTGCATAGGTGCAATTTGTCGGCAACAACACCTGTCCCGAAAATTCATAGGAACTAAGTCCATCAGCTATTTTTGGAATGTTCTGTAGATAAGCATGGTTTCATTCAACAAACCGCTGAGTATTTCTTATACGCATGCTTAGTTGTCCCATAAAGGCTATGCTGTTGCCACCTTACACAGTCATGTTGCCAGCGAACTATGCACCGTATCTTTTTTTACCACGACACAATTAACTCAGACCTTGGTGTCTCACGACTTAGCCGGCCGCCAGCGCCGCTGTCCATTCCGCGCTGTGTCCTGTGTGTCTAGTTGTATGGAAACACACTCACAGCCGGACATAGGGCGGCCGCCCGTGGCTTCCGCCGCGTTCAATAAATCACTTGGTTACGTCGCAGCGGCCGTTGTTAAACACTGCACCTGACAGGCTGCGGGCGGTGGCGGTAACCGCGGCGGCGGGGCAGCAGTAACCGTACCGTTCGCTCTTCGCTGCCCACCCACACTGCAGCTCGATCGGCTATTGATTCATGGCCGGTGGCGTGCCGTCGGACGTGGCCCACCAGGGACCTCGGACCGGGGCCGGCGCGCCGGTCCGCCAGGTTTAATCAATCATCGGTGAGCAGCCGAGGGCCGCCGCGCCGCCGCCGGCCGGATAATTGAACTGTTAGGAGATACATCAAAGAAACATCGCCGAGAAAATTGAGAGTCGCTCAGCTAAAAGGTTTTAGATGGAGGCCGATGTCGAGTGGCTCTCAGTATGCTGCGTTCTTGTGAAAAGGGGAGCAAGGATTGAGGAGGAAATTGAGCGAGGTATGAGACAGGCAAGGTAAAAAGATCAGAGGAAAAAAGAGGAACAGAGAAAGAGGAAGGGAAGGATGAGAGTGGCTTTGGCAACAAGGACGCAAACGCTAATGGAAATCTAAAAATGAATAGAAGAACAGTCTAAGAACGTAGCCAATGAAATGAATCCAAAAGAACAACTTAAGTTACATAGACTATAAAAACTAGTTGAACAAAAAGTTAACGTTAAAATTACTGACAGACACGTTGAAATATTATCTTTGCTGCTTTTGTTTTGACTTAAACTGACCACTTCCTACTGCCGTCGCCGGTTCGCTCACTATTCATCATTTACTAACGCACTTGGATGCGCACATCGCTGGCGACGCTGTGTCTACCTCTGATACTTGACAAGCAGATAGTAACATCGCCATTAGCTGAGCGAGTTGGACGCGGCCCCGAGGGACACCCTCGCCGGGCTAGTCGCGCTGAGACGGCTCCACCGTCCGCCGTCTGGTCCCCGGCCAATAAACCGGGCACTGTACAGCGAGAATTAGCGGCGACAATGGGACGCGCACCGAGCAAAAACGGCCACTGAAAAACACCACAACAGGCACCGGCAGCGGGCAAACATGATGCACTGGATTGCCGTTTTAATGCCGTTTTCTTGTTATGTTTTGGAGGTGAATGAGGTAGGTAATGGGTCCGGGCAAAAGGTCGCTGGGGGATTAGTAACGATTATGCTGGAAATCAACAATGTTTTTGAATTGTGTGTGTATTGTGTAGTGCAGACGCATAGACTGGCTCAGCGTAGGTCAAACCAATCGTTCCTGAAAATATCATAGATTGATTTTAAAGCGAAGAAGAAACGGATTTGCTTACTAGCCGATATCGCATCACTCTGTAGCACCTCCTATACCAATGTGCGACATTCCAACGGACCCCGCCTACTACCTCTGCTATGCACTAGTGGTGTCAATCGGTTACCAAAATTTCGGTATACCGATACCGAACCAATACCGATTCGGTATTCGGTATTATATACCAAAATCATTTGGTATTTTGTCGGTATTATGAAAATCAACTACTACCATAAAAGATTTGAAGCATTTTTGATAAACCTTCTGAACTCAAATTTGATTTGCTAAATGGCATTGGATGAAGAAAAAATGGCAATCATGACACATTTCTCCCAAATGCATGATGTCCTAACAAATGGGCAAACACGTTAACAGTAATATCAAACACATAAGTCTACCAATGTTAAATGGCAACTTATCAGTGCTAGCAAATTCCAATACCATGAGGATAATTATCTTACAAAGAAAGCTAATGTGCAAGACAAAAACATGTATATGTTTAACTTACTGTATGCTGGAAAACATACTTTAACTATCTTACTCAAAATATCCAAAGCATTTATCAGTAACAAATTTGACTTTGTTTTGAGGAGTCTGTGATTGATCTTGACCCTGTCTTGCTCTACATTTCACTGCAATGAAAGTACATTATCCAAAACCCTGTTTTATACAGCACTAGCTTCACCATTATCATCTAATATTAAGGGCAGCATTTATCACTTCATCACCCCACAAATCATCAACTTCGCTCAACTTCAAAAAGCCTCTGTTAATGACTGAGCTGGACTGAGCGATCCTGTGTATAATTTATTTTCTTTAATTAGTGTTCACTTGCCTGCTCTCCTCAACAGATAGAGATCGCTAGCAATGTAATCAAAAGAATTCCTAAAATATGATTGGCTTTTGGCTTGATTCGCACACAGCAGTTTCAAAACTGAACACATTTAATCTAAAAACATTTTAGTGTCGCAGCTGCGCCAAGTACTGATGTAGCACAATAACTAATTGAAAATAATTGAAAAACTTTGTTTTTCTTGTTCTTCATTTTTTCAGCAATAGCAGCCTTCAATCTTTCTTGAAATAATTTGAAGATTCCAAAAACAAATACATATAATTTTTGACTGAAGTTTACTAAAGCAAAAAAGAAAAAACTTTCTTCTATACAGCTCTGTGTCATGCAAATTGCAAATGGCCGCCGCTATTGCTGCCATTGTGTAAGAGATGACACGTGACATGTGTCAATGCTTCCGTAAAATTATGGACATTTTACTTAACTTTCATCGCGATATCATTACAGTGGTGTCTGCTATCTATCAGTGTGCCTCGTAAGTAATTATCTAGCAAGTTTTGTTGTGCTAAACATTTGTTAATGAAGAAAAATTGGCTGCGTCAGTATCGTCACCATCGCTACTTGGGTTGAACTCTAGGGGTATCATGGATTTTGTTTACATTAATGGTATAGCCCATCAATGTCAATTGGGTCACCATTTTTGGATCATGATAACACACTTAACCCTGCCTTGACCGGACTCGAATTGAATGACTTGAATTGAAACGTTTGATGTTTCGCCTTGGATGGTTCAGGCATGGCCTCAATATTGACTCAATATTTGTTAACTGACCTCAATATTTGTTTATAGTTACACAATGCAGTTATAAATTTGTTTTTCTTTCAATGCAAATAATTTAGAGATTCCCTGATTTTTTTTTTGTTGCCTTATTTTAAAGTATTACCTTTCAATGCTTATCATAACTATGTCTTGAGAAAGTTTGAAGCGTTTTTTAATAATTTCCTGAATTCGGTATCTAGTCGGTATTTCCCCCTATTTCTGAAAATCGGTTCGGTTTTGGTATATTCTCAGTGGTTTTGGTCGGTATCGGTTTGGTATTGGTTTCCAAAATTTCTGAAATTGACATTACTACTATACACGTGTTTGAGTTATCGCCCCCAGTGACATTTATGACGGAGCGACACTCCCCATCGCTGTGATCGGACCAACACCGCACCACTTTTCAGTGGCGTCCGTCAGTATGCATTAGCGGTCCATTCGGCGGCGGGCCATTCGACTGTGAGTATCGCAGGTGTCCATCGCAGCCTGCGACCGACCCGACACCGATACCGGTCCCCGACACATGCCCGGAGGCCGATCAATGACCCAGTGTTACACAGCTCGACCGGCAGCCGTGAGAGGTCGACGCGCCTGG